AATAAGGACCTGAAGTGGACCTTGTGTTAAATAAGGGCCTGAAGTAGCTATAACAATTTCAAATAAAGGCCTCACCCCACTGGTTCGCTAGCCGGCCAAATATTCCGGCTGGTCAACGACATTTTCGTGTAAAAACAATTTTAACATAAATTTTAGTTAAATTAAATTAAAAATTTAAAAAAAAATTATCAAAAAAAGAGAAAAACAAGGGGGAGGGCTAGCAGCTAAACCTCCCCTCCTGTGGCCGCCAACCCATCGCCGGTCGGGCGGCGGCGATGGCCAGTGACCGTTGTTGGCCAAAGGCGAGGGCCTAGTGGTGACCCCATCAGCCATCGCTGTCGCCCCATCGGCGATGGAGCGGTGGCCACATGCGGGGAGAGCTGGTTGCTCCCCTTATTATTTTTTTATTTTTTTTAACTTTAGTTTGTTTTTATGGAAAAAAAAAACAAAAGAAAGAAAAGAAAGAAAAAGGAAAAAAATAAAAAAAAAATAAAAAGATGAAAATGCCCTTGACTCCGATGAGGTTAGGCTCCTTTTTTAGATTGAGATGGTCACTTCATACTCTTATTAGACAAGGTTCACTTCAAACTTTTATTTGAGAAAATAGTGACACTTCAAGTCCTTATTTGACATAAGATCCATTTCAAGTCTTTATTTAAGAAAATGAGAGCAGTTTGGGCCTTATTTGGAATTTTTCCTTTATAGTGAAACATGTGCGTTATAGAATAATAGCCAAGAGCATGGTTTTGTATAGTTAGTAGGTTTATTTATTTGAGTAGAAAGTAGAAACCTTAGCTTGTGAAACACAAAGTCTATAGTTGGATCTCAAAACTCTTTTAATTTTTTTTATGGAATGCAACCCAATTTCAGTAGCTCAAATAAGTAAACAAATTAGTCAAGGGACGAGCTTTCCATGTATATAAGAATTATCTTGCTTCTTATGGGAAATTTGGGATAATGGAATCTCATGTGTCACATTCCACAATTTGCAAGATCTTCTAATTGGTGTCTCCATAGGTGTGCCGAATGTTCTTATAATGTTAATGAGATCTCATTACGCTTCCTTCAAAAATGGCAGGACAACATGTACTATTTTTTTGTTTCTACTAATGGAGTGTTCAGAAATCTTTGAGCACCCGATTAGTTCTCATCGGGCATGCAATCGGCATGGCAGTCTCCTTGTCTCGTACACACTCATTAACTATTGTAGATAACACATGTCTGTGCACTTGAAGGTAGTCCCAAAAGAATGCGCAAATGCGATGATTCAAATTAAAGCCTTGAGTGAGAAGAATAGACTTGCTTATGATTTGAACAACCCCTTGGGGTTTAGTAATAATGTACTTACTGATCTTTTTTTTTTTTTGATAATCGAGGTGTCCGCGCGACCGGCGAGCTAGGGCTCAAACCAGCGGTGATGCTCGACTAGTCCTTGAGGGGGGCTAGCGCAGCATCCCACCGCCACGACCCCCCACTTAAATCACCGATGGGCGTACTTACTGATCTTGATAGCATACAAAAACAAAACACTAAAATCTTGAATGATATTTATATTCCATGTAAGGAGTTGAATTTGTGCTCATTCATGCCTCATCATGTGCCCTAATTAGTATGAGTTCTTCCAGCAAAGCAAGCGAGAGGACTTAGCTAATTACGACCTAAGATACAATATGTAAAAGTTATTATTGGTCATTAATACCATCAAGGAAACATTATATGTGTTGTTCAATATTATTATAGACCAATTGAGGCAATCAGCTTGGTCAAACCAAACGTGATGCCCATGGCCAACCACCCTCCAAGTGGCACCCTAGTACTTTCCCCAGCACCACGCTCAGCTCGCCAAACGTAAGTAATGCCATGCTCACTGCCACTATCGCCACCACCAACCTCACCTTGTACTCCTTTATGAATGCAGCCGCCAGGAGTGGCAACAGCGCCCCCACTGCAAAGGTCAGTGCCGATGTCACCGCCGTTTGCCATGGGCTTGCTAGCTTCTCCTTCCTTGCGTCCATCTCTTTGGTTCTTAGGGCTTCATTCTTGGCCTCTCTCATCATCTAGGCCACCTCAATGTCGTATTGGTGACTATAAGGATACAAGCTCCCTTATGGCCATGCTGCAGGCCCCGACGATTAGCCCCGACACCCTGATTATGGCCATGGTCTTGATGTCCCTGTAGAGAGCGTGATGTAGAACAGTTAGCCTGTGATTATCTTGAAGAATGTGATCGCCGTAATCGCCGGAAATCTCGGCAGTTTTTCTGATTAGGCAGTTTTTTTTACTTTAGGAAATTTCGAATTATCAATATTTCGTTTGATTTTATTAGATAAGATTAGATTTTATTTTATTAGATAAGATTAGATTTGATTTTATAAGATTATATTTGATTTGCTTTGATGTTATTTTCATTAATTCGGATATCTTTAGGAGTCCTATCATTATAAAAGGACGTCCAGCTTTGTATTCATATTATGAAATTGAATTGAATTCCAGTCGAATCGTGGAAGAGTTTTCCAAGTTATCGCTTCTATCTGCGTCATTTGGTATCAGAGCAGGTTTCTCCTGTGACGATGGTGAATAACGTGAATGTCAATCTCCCCGCTGCTGAGGGCCATGAAAGCGAGCCTATTACGCGGACTGAGTTCAATCAGTTCGTGGATCAAACCGATCAGAGGTTTCAAGAGATTCTTGATGCCATCCAACGTTTGTCCACAAACCATGCGCCTGGCGTTCTTCCAGCTGAGCAAATTCTTGTCGTTCGTGATCCCGAAGATGCTATGGGGCGTGGAGGAATTCCCCGACATAGCCGTCAAGACTATGTCGAGGATACGGAAGACGAAGACAATGATTTCCGGGAGATGCATATTCGTGGTGGTCGCCGATACAGGGGATTCCAAGAGGAGCATGTTCGTGGGGATCGACGGCAGGGGGGCTATCGACGAGATCCTGAGCAGTACCAACTAAAGGTAGATCTCCCTACTTTCAATGGAAATTTGGATATTGAAGATTTCCTTGACTAGCTTTGGGAGGTCGAAAAATTCTTCAACGCTATGGATATTGACGAGGATCGCCAAGTGAAACTTGTGGCGTACAAATTGAAGGGTGGCGCTTCAGCTTGGTGGGAACAGACTCAATTGACGCGACGTCGACAAGGCAAGGCTCCTATTGGATCATGGGGTCAAATGAAACAAAAGTTGAAGAAGAGGTTCCTCCCAACGGACTATGAGCAACTGTTATTTCAGCAATTCCAGAATTGCCGACAATCGAATAGATCGGTCCAAGCTTATACGGAAGAGTTCCTTCGACTCTCCGCTCGCAATAACCTGGATGAGTCCGAGGCACAACAAACTGATAGGTACATTAATGGTTTGCGACTTAATATCCAGGATCAGGTTTCTTTGCATCGACTATTCTCTGTCGAAGACGTCCAGGATATGGCGCGAAAAATTGAGGTGCAATTGGAGAGGACTAGCCCTAGTACTCATGGTAGCAATTATTCGGGTCGTGGGTCATTCGGGAGAGGAAGACAGCCTGATGTTGCAAGTTCTTCTAGTCAACAAACACCTGATTCGAGCCGAGTTCCAGGGGGTACTACTGGGACGCCTAAGGAAGCAATCGCAGCAAGCAATCGCACTCCCAATCAGAATACCCAGAATCCATATGCCAAGCCCCAACCGATCAGGTGCTACAAGTGTAACGAGTTGGGCCATCGTTCCAGCGATTGTCCTCGTCGTAGAATGGCCAATATCGTTGAACATGACGAAGATGTGTATAAGGAAGATTGGGAAAATGAAGAAGAAGTGGGAGTGGAAGATGAAGTGGGCGAGCAAGTTAATTGTGTAGTGCGTCGTCTATTGCTTACTCCACGGGTAGAAGATACCCAGCGGAATCAGCTTTTCCGCGCTCGCTGTACTGTCAACGACAAAGTATACGATATCATTATTGACAGCGGAAGTTGCGAGAACATAGTGTCAAAGGCCTTGGTGGATCACTTGCAACTAAAGACGGAGCCGCATCCCGCGCCCTACACGATCGGGTGGATACGCAAGGGAGCAGAACTTAAGGTAAACCAATTATGCCGTTTACCTATTTCGATCGGGAAATCATATCAAGATACTATTGTCTGTGATGTTGTGGAGATGGATGCGTGTCATGTTTTACTGGGTCGGCCATGGCAATATGATGTTGATGCTACACACCGAGTTAGGGAGAATACGTATTCTTTTGTATGGAAAAGGACTAAAATTACTTTAAGACCAAAGAGTAATTCCCCTCAGATTGTGAAAAAGCAGAATGCAGGGGTTATGATGAACATCCGAAATCGTGAAGGGATGTATATGATTGTGGACAAGGGCGACCAGCAAGTTGTGGTTCGTGTTCCCGACATTCTTAAGCCCTTATTAAAGGTATTCAGTGATGTTATGCCTGAGGATTTACCTGACGGATTACCTCATTTGAGGGATATCCAGCATAAGATTGATTTTCTTCCAGGAGCTAGTCTTCCTAATTTGCCGTATTATCGGATGAATCCGAAGGAGAATCAGATTCTACAGGAGCAGGTGGGAGATCTCCTTCGAAAGGGCTTCTTGCGTGAAAGCAAAAGTCCATGTGCAGTTCTTGCGCTTCTCACGCTAAAGAAAGACAGCACCATGCGTATGTGTGTAGACAGTCATGCCATTAACCGGATTACTGTCAAGTATAGGTTTCCGATTCCATGACTTGATGATATGCTAGACAGACTTGCTGGATCACGGATTTTTACGAAGATCGACCTTCGAAGCGGATACCACCAAGTTCGCATCCGCCCTGGCGACGAATGGAAAACGGCCTTCAAGACAAGTGCGGGTTTGTACGAATGGCTTGTCATGCCGTTTGGACTCACTAACGCGCCTAGTACTTTTATGTGTTTGATGACTCAGGTTCTCAAACCTTTTATTGGCAAGTTTGTTGTAGTTTTCTTTGATGATATTCTCATCTATAGTCCGGATGATCGACAGCACATGGAGCACTTGAGAGATGTCCTGCTAACCTTGCAGAAAAATCAATTATTTATTAATTTGAAGAAGTGTAGCTTCATGACCGAGCGACTCCTTTTCTTGGGTTTTGTTGTTGGAGCAGATGGTCTTCACGTTGATGCAGAAAAGGTAGCTGTGATCCGTGATTGGCCAGTTCCACAGAATGTTGGCGAGGCTCGAAGTTTCCATGGCCTTCCGACGTTCTATAGACGTTTTATTCGAGATTTCAGTACAATTGTAGCCCCGATCACTAATTGTTTAAAGAAAGGAAAATTCCATTGGGGTGATGAAGCTTCGGCCAGCTTCAAGCTTATCAAAGAAAAGCTCTCAACGGCACCAGTATTGATGCTCCCTGATTTTGAGAAAGTGTTCGAGTTGGATTGCGATGCTTCGGGTATTGGAATCGGCGCTGTTCTTTTCCAAGAAGGTAAGCCTATTGCTTTTTTTAGTGAGAAACTTAATGAAGCTCATCGGCGCTGGTCTACGTATGAGCAAGAGTATTATGCTGTAGTGCGCGCTATAAAGCACTGGCAGTCCTATCTTTATCAGCAGGAATTTGTTCTTAACACCGATCATCAGGCTCTTAAATATATCAAGAGTCAGAAGCACTTAAATCGAATGCATGCACGATGGGTTTCTTTTCTAGAGCAATTTAATTTTGTGCTTCGTCACAAAGCAGGCCATTTAAATAAAGTGGCAGATGCGCCGAGTCGACGTGCTGCGACACTCGTGACCATGCGCACTGATGTTGTCGGTTTTGATCACCTATGTTCTCTTTATCCTGAGGATGATGATTTTGGTGAGATATGGGAGAAGTGTTCTGAAACAGGTTGTCATGGCGATATGATAATTCAAGAAAAATTCTTGTTCTTTGGCAATAGATTATGCATTCCTCGTGGTTCCTTGCGCGAACAACTCATTCGAGAGCTTCATGGTGGTACTCTCGGCGGACATTTGGGGCGAGATAAAACTGTAGCCTTGGTGGATGAGCGGTACTATTGGCCTCAACTGAAGCGAGACGTGGGGCGATTTGTCAATAAATGCTACATTTGTCAGACCGCTAAGGGCCACTCTCAGAACACTGGTCTTTATACCCCCTTGCCTATTCCTTCGGGTCCTTGGGTAGACATATCGATGGACTTCGTGTTGGGACTTCCTCGCACCCAACGGAGTTTAGATTCTGTTTTCGTGGTGGTTGACCGGTTTTCGAAGATGGCGCACTTCATTCCTTGTAAGAAAACTTCGGATGCTTCGCATGTGGCAAGTTTATTCTTTCGTGAAGTAGTCCGTCTCCATGGTGTGCCGAAGACAATCACTTCCGATCGTGACACGAAATTTCTGAGCCATTTTTGGCGTACTTTATGGCGTTTATTTGGGACTGATTTATAGTATAGTAGTTCTTTTCATCCCCAAACGGATGGTCAGACGGAAGTTGTGAATCGTACTATGGCGGATATCATTCGCTGCCTCTGCAGTGATATGCCTAAGCAGTGGGACTGGTATCTTGCTCCTGCTGAGTTCGCCTTCAACAACTCGGTTAACCGCTCTACCGGTACATCTCCCTTTCAGGTCGTTTATGGGCGTACACCACATCATACTCTGGATTTGGTTCCCTTGCCCAAGATTCTTGGCTATAGTGTCGTAGCGGAGAATTTGGCAACCAGAATTAATGAAGTCCAAGCTGCTGTTGCTAGTCAATTGGCTGCTTCTAATTCAAAGTATAAGGAGGATGCTGACAAACGGTGACGTTCGAAAATTTTTGAGGTACGCGATGAGGTAATGGTTTTCCTGAGAAAGGAGCGTTTTCCTGTAGGTACCTATAATAAACTGAAGCACAAGAAGATTGGTCCTTGCCGCATCCTGAAGAAGATCAACGACAATGCCTATGTAGTTGACATTCCTGATGATCTCAACATTTCCCCTACATTTAATGTGGCAGACTTATTTGAGTATCATGCTCCCGATACACCATTCTATCCTAATCATAACTCGATGGCGAGTTTTCTCGAAGAGGGAGGGAATGACGTAGAACAGTTAGCCTGTGATTATCTTGAAGAATGTGATCGTCGTGATCGCCGTAATCGCCGGAAATCTCGGCAGTTTTTCTGATTAGGCAGTTTTTTTTACTTTAGGCAATTTCGAATTATCAATATTTCGTTTGATTTTATTAGATAAGATTAGATTTTATTTTATTAGATAAGATTAGATTTGATTTTATAAGATTATATTTGATTTGCTTTGATGTTATTTTCATTAATTCGGAAATCTTTAGGAGTCCTATCATTATAAAAGGACGTCCAGCTTTGTATTCATATTATGAAATTGAATTGAATTCCAGTCGAATCGTGGAAGAGTTTTTCAAGTTATCACTTCTATCTGCGTCAGAGCGCTGACACCCGTCATGAGCGACACTGCCAAGAGCAGGTTGTCATTCGCACCCAACACAGTTGCACGAAGCTAGTCGACGACCTCAGCCTCTTACTTGAGGAATTATTTGGTTTGACCCTCGACGTGTTCCCTGCCACTGTGCCTAGGTGCTTTGCTTCTGCGCCTAAGTATCAGGCATCCAAGCCTAGGTCCATCAAGATTGAGCCCAAGTCCATAAAGGCTAGCCTCGGTACCTGGTGGCTATGGTTCGGACCTTAGTGCCCATGCTTAGGACTTTAGTGCATATGCTCAGGTCCATAGCGGCCATGCCTAGGTACCCAATTCTCACGCCCTAGTCGATGGCGCTTGGGCTTGAGTCATAGGCTACACTTGAGATCCTGATGTCATGCATAGGTTCCAGACGACCATGCCCAGGTACCCGCTCCTATGCCCAAGTCATCGACCCTTGGGGCCCACATCCATCGAGGTCGGGCCCCCTTCCTCGACAGTAGTGCTTGAGTACCTGAACCCAATTCTTAGAGGCTGGGCCAAAGACTCTAGCGCCCTTGCCTGAATCTTTGGCTGCATGCTTGGGACCCTTGTGCCCATGCCCAGAACCCTGGTGCCCATGCCCGAATCCTCGGTGGGCATGCCCATTCTCAAGGCCTTGATGGTGATGCTCAGGTATCCGACTCCCACGCCCAAGTCAGGGCCCGGGTCTCTCGAGGTTGGGTTTGAGACCTCGATGCCCAGACCTATGACTGGGTATCCAATTCTCGCACCTAAGTCACTGGCGTTCGGCCCTAGTTCCTCCGCGGCTAAGCTCAGCTTCACAAAATCTAAACCCAAGTCTCTTAAGACCAAGTCCAAGACCTTGGTGCCTGTGCCCAAGTACTCGACTACTATGCTCAAGTCACCATCGCTCAGGCCTGGGTCCTCGACACTTGTACTCGGGTTCCTAGTAGCTAGGCCCGAGAAACCCCGACTCTTACGGGTAGGACCTCGGTGGTTAGGTATCCCTTATATCACACAAATACTACATGTCTCTTTAAAAAATATCAAGTAGTTTGCGAAACAAACGGAGTGGACGATAGATGGAGGTCATGAATGATTGCTATCTCATGGTGTAGTTGGCTTGGACAAGTGATAGGCATGATCTGTCACCGGATTTATTTGAATGGAAGCCCTATTGTACCAAAAAGTTGTGGCGAGAAGATGTAGGAACAAAATGTTTTTCTAAAATGTTGAAGGTGTATGGAAGTTTGACATAACACGGCGCAAAACTTTGAAGATAAGTAAGAGTCATATCCCCATGAGTTTCTAGACTGTTATCCAAAATTAAAAAAATCGTTTCTGTAAATTCTTTTAAAAGGTTCCTGTAGTTTTTAAAAAGGTCACAGTCAGTTCTTGAGCAAATCTAGTGACGGTTTTGCTGACTTGGACTTTAATAAAATTAAAATTCGCTAGAGAAAAAGCATGAGTTATGAGCTACTCGCGTTTGTATCCTTTGATCTTGAGGCAATGATACAACAGAGTGGTCAGACCTGAAAAATGGCCACGGGCATTGTGGCGTCCAATTTCTCCGGTGAGAGAATGACTATAATGTGATAGTTGCCATTGCCTAACGAGCCTCGAGCAACAATGCCCTTCACATGATAGTCACCTTTGCTGCTGCCAATGCCACAACGTGATGATTGTCATGGTGTCACAAGCCTCATGCAACAGCAACCCCCATATGGTAGTCGCCTTGCTATTGCCATATTCCTACCTCTCTTTCTCTCTTTGCGAGCACGAAATGACCTCTCTTTCTATTATATTTATGATTTTCCGTATCGTGAAACCTATCAAAATGGATTATAGACTCATTTCTTAACCCATATTTTATGAGCTGGATTGTTATATGGCTTAGTTATATTCAGTGAATGGGTTACAAATAAATTTATAATGGTAAGGTCTAAAATAATATAAATATTAAATGGGTTCACAACTTACTTAGACCCGACTCATCTCTATGATTCTCTCTTCACTCTCTTTCGCTTTCACTCGATCTTATGCTCGCTCACTCTATATTCTCAATTTGGTTTGGGTATGAATTTTCCTAAATTGCGTTAAATATAGAAGTAACTTATTAATATGGATCAGGTCGGGTATGGATTAGATACGTGTTGGGTCGGGTATAAGTCACCGTACTTATAATGCATGAAAATGAGTCAAAATGGATTAAATAGTCAATTTGGATCGGACCATTTTTGATCCGATCTACCTGTTTGACTGGTCTGCGCGTCATTAATATTATACCTACGTGGTGCCATATAAAAAATATGAGTAAATCACAAAAAGGGCACGGGTGTATTTCAACTGCTCATATCAACATTTCGACCGATCAAGCTTATCAAAAGGATTGACGGTGACCCTTTCCAAAACGTGTAGGGATTGAGAGGGAAAAATTGTGAACTTTCTTTAATTTTTTTTCTTTGCCATGCGACACTCTTAACAAGACACGTTTCTGAAGATACTCACAAACTGTTTAGCCTAAATAAGATCAAACACATGGCCTTGCAATGTCTCGGCCAGGGAACGAACAGTTAGACGAAAACCTCGTGAAGTGTGTCGTAGTAATGGCGGAATCCCAGCGTCGCCAACGAATGACCAGTTCCCACTTGGCTTGTGATCAGAAAGCACGACAGGCTTTGACGATCGAAAGCTTCAATGGGGTTGGAGTTACGATACACAGAACTCAAGGAGATGAAGAAAAAGAACATGGAAATCAATACCATAGCGGGAGGCGAGGAAGCTGCTGCGCAACGAAACGGGGCGCAATGCGTGACTGCGGAGGCGTGGAGATGAAGTTGCTGGTTTTGAGTAAGAAACTGTCGAAGATTGTGCTCCCCGAGAGACCCTAATTTACTCCACTTAACTTAAAAATTCGATTAAAAGTAATCTTTCATGTATTATTGCCACGCTGTAATACCATCCCCAAGAGAAAAAAACAAAAAAGTGCACCAAAGTCAAATTAATTAATTGTAGCTTTATTCATTGTCTAGTAAGTATAAGTTGGCTTAATTTTGAATCAATTTGAATTTTGAACATGCTAGGGATATGAGTTTTCATAAAACGTAAACGAGTACTTAAACAGGGAGATCGACATAGTCCCTTCAACGTATAAAGAAGAGGACGGTATTAAGTGAAATAATCATTTTTCAAATTGGGTCGGCCTTAGTAGTAGCGTGTTTTGGCTTCTCCACTTGGAGATTCCGACTTATCATATAGTTTTTATTAACAAGTATCTTGGGAGGACTCGTTAAACATTCAAATAAATAAAATTTGTCATTTTCAAAGTACAGTCTTCTCCGTGTTATGCGCAATTAGGCATTTCAAATGAAAATATTTTGTTATTAGACATGAGTTAAGAAGACCCTTATTATTTCTTAAAATCTTTAAAATGGGGAAAATAGGATTTATATTCTATATCAATTCTCACATAGGCTTGTGTGATAATTCGAAAAGCCTTTGGGGATGTGCTAGCTGCCATATTTTTTACTAAACTTATTTTGTTTTTGTCAATATGATCGAGATTCTTTCAATTCGAGGGTCAATTTGACCACTCTA